GTTGTACTAAGAAGCGACTGCTGGATAGAGTGAGGAACAAAAAATACAAATTAACGGGTCTAGGTAGCGTAATGGAAAAGTGAAGAGAGCGGGCCATCTGATGGGAAAGAAGCCATGATCCACAAAAGAATTCATTCATTCATTCCTAAAAAAAGGGCAGGGCCTTATCCAAACAAAATAAGTCAAGCGTTCAACATAAATGTGAGATATGGAGGACTGTAGATAAATATTGGTTGATTTTACGACATGTCAGATTTTTGTATTGGGTACTACTCAGTAAGGTTCAAAACCACTACCAAGTAGTAATGGCTAACCAGACTAGCCTTGTTAGCCATTACCCCAAGTAACTTATTAGGCTGGTTGATTTTACAATACATCAACTCTTGTTGAGTTATTTAATGTCGAATTTTGTATGGGGCACCCTTTGAGGGTCAAAATCACTACTAAGAAGTAATTGTCAACTTGACAAGTTTCAGTAACCATTACTTGATGCCAAACATCTACTTTCCTTGATTTTACGTCAACCCTTGTTGGTTTATTTAATGTTGAAATTTGTATGTGAGGATCAAACTCACTACAAAGAAGTAATAGTCAACCAGACTAATCATTATCCCATTGCAAGGCACTAAAGGAGATATTATAGTTTTCTAAATGCCAGAAGTGATCATGACTCATCATAGATTTCTTTCCATTATTACCTGGGAATTCTTGGGAAAATAGTTCCTGATGTCTACTCAAGGTGAGAAAGCAAAGTCTATCCTACTATTTAATCCATAGTAGTTAAGGGAAAAGAGATGGGTTCATGCATTTTCTATGAATTTTGTGTCACAGCCAACTTTGATCTTCAAAAATTTAAATGCAATGTCAATCATTATCTTCTGTCTTCTTAATTTCTCTTCTTTTATTGTTTTCTCTGCTTAATAGTTTTTTTTTCTTGTATTCTCTGACATACAGTTACCCCTCATTTCTTAGTGCCTTTATAGCCTTAATTGGGGTGAAATGATTAAAAAAAAGAAAAAGACAGCCATTTTGATGAATGCAACAATGCTAAGGCTAGCATTATGCTGAATTATATGAGTGCTTCGGCAAGAGCTTGAAAACAATGTCATAAAATATTCAAGACAAATTTTTCTCCACTTTAGATTTTTTATGATAAAAATTTTAATTTTTTAAAGAGTTTTTTTCTTCTTTCTTGTCCAATTTTAAGAAAGCTTTGGGGAATACAATATTAAAAAAAAAAAATTGATCAATATACTTTATTTGATTCAGTCAAGCAGAAACCTGAAAATTATCCATGAATATATTTACGGTCATAATCTTCATACAGTTTGTGACTAATTTCAAATACATTTTAAATAGAATATATAACAGACAAATATAATATATCCTTTTTTTTTCAGTTAAAATAATACATTTTCATAAAATATACTTGAAAGTTTACAAGCAAAACACAAAAATTCAAAACATCTATAAAAAAACATAAAACATTCTTTCATTGACAAATAACATTAAAAACAAATTTTGAAAGTATAGACATTTGAAGTTATAGACATATAACTGTAAATGATAAATTTCTTCATGTGAAAGACAAATTAAGATAGAATTGGCATTTTTTTTTCTTGGCAGTAAAAGAAAATACATTGGTTGATAAGGTTTATAGCACAGATAGAGAAAATGAAAGACTGGCAACAAAACTGTTAATGTATTGTAAACATATAATGACTGATCATGTCAACAGGTACTCAATTACTACATTAGTGAGAGCTACATTCCACATACAAAAACCAGGTGAAACAAAGTAAACATCTTCAAAAGTAAAAGTCATAATGAGAATAGTTTTTAAAGTTAATTTTCAGTTTAATAGCTTGGTTGGCTTGCTTTCAGTTATGTAGAAATAAAAGTAAGTAGTTAAGGAAAGGAGACATGGAGAAAAATCTACAAGCATGCGTAAATGCACTCCAAACATTTTCTCAGGAGGCTAGTGTTTCCCAAAATGGTACACAGATTTTTAAAATAGCATAACATCTTTTTTTCATGATTCTGAGGATTCCTTTTCACTGTACTTTTCAAAAAGGACATATTTGTTTTAAAAAAATTGTTTGACCATAAAAAAATAAATCATATCCATTTTTTACATGTTTCACATGGACACACAACACAAACACCTGTGGCAAAAAAAAAAAAAATCAATAAATAAAAAATTCATTACTTCTTCAGAAATTATTATTAAAGTTCACTTAATACAAGGCTCAAGAGTCCCTCACGGTAGAGGGTTACTGAATGAAATGTGTGATATGAATGTAAGAGGATGTAGAAGTGAGAAGTATCAGGATATGAACTATAGATACTGATTGACCCTTGACTTAAAAAGGTTAAGATTGTAGGGTTCATGGAGGCATCCACACAGTAGTTTGTTTGACAAAGTAGCAGTTTTTAGTAAAAACTGTTTTAGTGAAAAAAATGTGGATGATTCAACTCTGTAACAAGTTCTAACTATAAAGGTCTGAAGTGGTGTGACTAAAGAGTGTCACTCATCCGAGTATTCATTTGCCTTGGAAATAGCAAAACAGTAACTATAGGCTTGAAACATACCGTCTGTGAGGAAAGAGGCCGTATAGTGGAAAATAAATCATCCCTATAAGAATATGTAAACAATTTCAAACTCTATCAAGTCTGGAAAATGCAAACATGGTCGCAATACTACATTTTTGGTCTAATCTGACTTTTTTTTAAAGCTAAAGAATGGCAAAATGTGTCAGGTACTTCCTGGTATGGTAGAAGGAGCCAACCATTTTATATAAGTATAATATATAACATGGCTCCTAAAAATTTCTGATCTTCATAGTGGTAGACTACATAACTGATACCAATCATGTTAGAGAAATGGCAGTTTGGTGACAGTACTCATGGACGAGTTCAAATTTATTCCAAAATTCTCTGGAACTTTGCTGGTGATTGGTTTCCCTGAAAACTCGTCATGATGCTTGAGTGTTGGTTCAAAATGATTTTGAAGAAACCCAACCAGCTTTGAAACAAGTGTCAATCAAAAACCTCTGTTGAACCTAGAAAATGCTTATCAAAAGCCTGAGAAAGTATTTCAAGAGTCTTGGTTGGAAATCTACCAAGCTTCAACCCAAATTAGATGTAAGCATGTTGCTCAAATTTATCCAACATGATAGCCTTGGTATGGATTGCTGTGTGAGAGTCATGAAGAGAGTGTGAATATTTGATGTTTTTGTTTAAGAGACTCAAATGCAGGATCATGCTACTTGACATCATGTAATAATTTAACAAACTTAAATTTTTAGCAAGTGTCATTTGAATCTTTTGATGGCTGATGACATCTATGTGCACTGCTACTATAGATGTATTACAGTCCTCTGCTAACTGGAGGAATGCACCTTCCAGTTATTATGCAGGATGATCTTGCATGAAGCTACTACATTCTCTCTGCCGAAATATCTGTTAATGCCATCTGGAGGACCTACCGACAGAGATGGTTGGAAGGAATGAGTCAGGAGAATCTGAGAAGAATTCTCTATCTGATGATGATGATGATGATGATGAATAATTTCACTCAAGTAAATAGCATGATATCTATTGGCAGACTGACTCTATAGGCTGGGGACCATTAGTTGCACATGCATTTCCAATGAATTCCTGTTTAGAAGACTTTTAGTTCCATTTAATACAACTAATTTCCTTTCTCTTTATCAAGTTCTTTCAGTAAAGATACACATTACATCAACAACAGGGCTAGTGAGTACTAACCCGCAACCTCCGTCCCATGATTAGGGGTCCCGAGCAGTGCTTTGTGACTCTTGCTATCTAATCAACATTTACTTTTTTTACTTACATTTACATACATTACAAAACTAAGCATAACTGATTATTAAAGGATGAAAAATTATTGCAGATTTTGACGTTGTTCTGGGGACTTTTTTTCTCATCTAAATCTGGGAATTTGTTTTCCTCATGCTAAAGTCTCAAAATAACACTATATAAAATTCACTATTTTTTATCCTTAATATCCTCTTTAAATATTAATAGTTAATAATACATTTTTTTTTCATATGGATGAAAATCTGCAAAACAGATGGATTGGGAGAAAAGGGACAGTTGAATAGCCACCTAGATCACCAGATTTGACACCCTTGGATTTCTTTTTGTGGGGGTTTCTAAAAGACAATGTTTACAGCAGGAAACCTCAAACAATTGCTGAAATGAGAGTAGCAATTGAAGAAGAATGTGCTCAAATACCAGAGGAAATGATACTGGATGTTTGTTTTCAAGCCATTGCCCCAAGTAGCTTTTATCTTAAAGTTAATTTTCTATGTTTTTTGTATATTTTACTCTCAAATTCTTTAAATGTGTATTCTTTCTCTTGTATTAATCTTATTTACAAGTTAAAATACATAAATTGAATAAGTTATAACGATTCATTATTTTGGGACACCCTGTATATATATATATATATATATATATATATATATATATATATATATATATATATATATATATATAAAATGAGCATTAAAGTCAACATGCAGAGACAACAGTCTGTTTTATGTTAAATGTAATCATCAGGCCATTTACATATGCTCTATCCTTGATATTGAGCACTTTAACCTGTAAATATAGCATACCGTAAAACTATATTTTATCATTTGTATATATATATATATATAAGTGGAAAATTATTTAGTCTGACACATTTTGTCCTTTATGACTTCTCAGTTTGTGAAGGTCCTTTGTTGGACATAGGTCTTTCCCAGATTCAAGATGGGGAGGAATGAGCCATTATCCTACCGTGCTGACCCCAATGTGTATTGGTAGTGGGGTGGTTCTGACATGCTTGAGTGACCATTTACTTTTCAATTCATGATTGCTCAAGGGTATTTGAACATAAGTGGATATAATGAATCCATCTGGAATTTAAACTCAGTTTTCTAATATTCTCATTTTGAGCTGTCATCATTGCACCACCTGCACATCCAAAATGACAGCAAGTGGTATTCCCAAGTGGTCACCCATCTAGGCATTGATCAGGCTCAATGCTGCTTAACTTAGATGATCTGATGAGAACTGTCGTTTCAATGTGATATGGTCGTAAGTCTCCAATATGTTCAATAACTTCTAAAGAAAACCCTTCATTTACCGTAGGTCACGGCCAAAATGTTTTGGTAAATGACTGTATCAAACAGTAAATTTAAAAAAAACAAAGCAATGATAATAATACAAACATAATGAACTATTTTCGTTATTAATTTTTGACTAGTCTTCTCTTCATCTTATCACTGTTTATCACAAGCTTAAATGTGTTACTTTCATAGTGTTGTAGAGTAGTTTCACAGTGGAGGCTTGTATTTCACTAAGTTGGTCGTAAAATAGGTTCGACGTACAAAACGTTGGGAACTTGATATAATAGGTAATGACGCAGAGAAATCTAGTGGTGGTCGTTGATACTTTTAGTATCCGACTAACGGTCGTCTGACTAACCAACTCACTGAGCGACTCCTACTTATTATAGGTGGGAGAGTCTATTAACTATAGAATAGGTGTGTTCCACTATAACACATAGTGAATTAAATGTAGTTGTTACTTCTTTATTCTTCAAGCAAACTTGGACCTCCATGCCTGCAAAAAAACAAAGTGTTAAAAAGACAGTTTTTTCCTTGACACCATTATTATTTTAACTACCTTCACTCTTTGGCAATGTTTATTGTTTTAAAAAGCAATTGATTAGAATTGTAATAATAACCTAAACAGGTGATGGAAGTGAATTCACACCATTTTTTTTCTTCTTGAGAATTTACAACAAAACTATTAATCATTATTTATTTATTAGTTTGTTTTTTTATAAGAATAATTTTATAATTACAACATCTTAAAAACTAATACAATTGCATTGTATATATATTTATTATTCACCAATTTATAAAGAAATAAATATGAAAACAATTTTTATTCATAAATTTACGAACATTTTTAGTAGATTATTGAAATATGTAAACCAACTATGAGAAAATCCTTATTATTTACCATTTTATAAAGTTTGAAACAATTGGCAGTTAGCCATTGTTTTGCCAACCATTCCAATAAACAATATAATAAATAGTGTAAATAAACAATCTAATAAATAAATAGTTTATTATTCTTGTTGTCATTTCTCAAGAACAAAGAAAATGTATAAATTCAATTTCATGTTTAGGTTTTATTACAATTTTAATCAGCGCTTTTTAAAACAATAAACATTACCGAAAAGTGAAAATGTCAATGAAGAAGCTGTCTGTTTGGCACTCTGTTTTTTTTTTTTTGTTTTTTTTCTTGGACACAAAGGTCCAAGTTTGCCATTCTTCCTTTATAGAACTTACTTTGGCAGGTGAAGTCTATTTGATGCAAAATAAGTTGCAGTAGGAAGATGAAGAAAAACCTAGCCATTAATGATTATGATGATGATGATGATGATGATGATGAGGATGATGTTGTTACTAATGATGATCCAAGTATTGACCCTGATACACCAAAATGTTTGGGAAACACTGTATTGAAAAAGAAAAAATAATGAACATAAAGAGATGTTTAATGTATTTACAGAACAGGCTTGATGCATTTCACATTCTGTTAAAAGTTAGGATATGAAACATATTCATTACTTACTCTATGCATGCACATCTCAGGTAAGTAATCAAATGCATCGAGGTATGCAGATAACCAGACAGACTGCACAGAGAGTGTGCATCATTAATGAAGTGGACAGATACATTGTTTACTGAGTTCACATAGGCTCTGAATGATTGAAAAATCATACTAGTCGTTTCAAAATCTCTGACAACTGAACAGATTTATTTACAACTATTGCATCTTTTTATTTAACACATCCTCTGCTATAGACATATTTATACTTACATTGCCTTCTATTGACATTATATATATATATATTCAACCATGTTTTATTAAATAATATAGACATATTATGTCTCTTTATTTTTATAATTATCATTTCCATTGCTCTAATCAGCTTCTTGATGTTAAGATGTAATTCATCAAGGAAGTTGCTGTAGTTTTTTCGTACCCAAGTACTTTCCATCTCCTCGAAGATCATTTTCAGCAGGTGAATTATAAAGACAAATCTATTGTAACAGTGATAAAATCTGCATTTCATTGTGATTTTATCACTGTTACAGTAAGATATGTTACCTAAATATACATAAACACACACACACACACATATATTGAGTCAAGTTTCATTGAATAGTTTAGACAATTTTTGTTTCCTTATTGGTATTGGTGTTAAAAACAGAGATGAAATTACTGTGTTGATACATATTGTTTTATTCTGAATACTTTCAACATGTTTTATTCCCAGTACTTTCATACACAATATATATATATATATATATATATATATATATATATATAAAAGAATATAAAAAAGTATTAGGTCAGACTGGAGTCAGGCCAATGTACAGATATTTTAAGAAAGTGCCCAATACACAATTCCCAAAAATTGAACATGCAGAACGAACAATAATATAAAAAATTGAAAAGTCACCCTCAATACTACCCAGGTTTCAACTTTACAGTCTCATCAGGTGGTTTTTGGTAATATATATATATATATATAAAAGATGCTATGGAATGTTGGGTCCTGGCATTATTAAAAAAATTAGTGTTACTTCCAAACTAGTGTATATATATAGTAATGTACAATACAACCTGTTTTGTGACTTATTTTTATTATATATTTTGTTGGTGGTCAGTATTGCTTTGTTTAGACTATACTAGTATCCAAGAAAAAACTGTTGTTGAGCTACCAATAGATTACTAATAGATTAAGTGTAATTCTCAGGATAGAGGTGCCTACTAGCTGGGAGAAACAAGTTCATGCCTTTTCCAAACTGGGTTGCCTGACTGGGTTAAATCTTAAAGTCCAGTGCTATTAAATTTTGAATTTCATTCTTCTTCTGTATCCATTCAGAATGTGGGCGAAAATGGTTCTCCACAACTTCCTATTCTTTGTAACTTTTAGTAATGTTTTTTTTTTTTTCACTATCACTTCTGTTCTCTCATCTATTTACGCAAGCTCATGTAGTATGTTACTCACTGTTTCTCTCTTGTTTTCAATATGTCCTGCAAAATTCAATTATAATGTTGGCTTGTAGAAATTACTTTGTTCACATTTGAGATATGAAAATAAAGCTAGCAGGTATAGGCTTTCAAGAAGATCTGAAAGAAAAGATGCGCATTTTTTAAAAGGGTAGCTGAATCTTACTGCGCTGTTATCTAAAGTGGTTTCCTCTACAAAGCAAGAAGGTTCAAAACTTGCCAGACAGCACATTTTTTTTTTTTAATCTGCAATTTGTTTGTTAACAGCATATCAACTTATGAGTCATTTATTGCTGAAATTTAATTTTCTGCTGGTAATTTATTTATTTAGTTTCTAAAATTTATACTTTCAGCTTTTTGACCCCAGTTCAGGCATTTACTATTTGCCCATAGCTGGGACCTTAATTGGTGCTACCATAACGGATCAGGGTAGACCTAGGAACAACAGCAATTAAGAGATGCTTCTATGCTCCTTAAAACCTTCCAATCAGGTCTTGCTGTATGTAGTTTATCGTCATAACCAGGATGATGTATTACTGGTATTTTTACTATAAAATAGCAATTAACAGGTGGTTCCACGCTCCTCAAAACCTCTAATCTTCTGATCAGAGGCTTTGCTGTCAGATGTAGTTTATCGCCATACTGAGGACTATTGATTGCACAGACTGTTAGATATAATCCACACTGTTTAAAAAATTTAAAAAAAAAAGCATGACTTTCATTTATAACTCCCCCATCATTAGAGGTTTATATTGGAGAAATAAGCTTAATCATCTATTGAAAGGATGGGACCTAAGTACTCAGGTTTGTCAGTCCTTTCCTCGACACTTGAGCCAACAGTACAAATGTCAACCAGATGAGAGAAAATACGTCACAAGACAAAAGGATATTCCACTTGACTGTGTACTTTCCTTTCCTGACATTATTTATTGAAACAAAGTGGCAAACAAGAATTTAATGTTTTATTTTATCAAATAACAGCCACCATCTAAGAAAGCAAAATGAGTAACATTTGAATAGAGTTTTGTTCTACATTAATCAAACATTGCTGCTACATTTGATCCAGTGCTTCTGCTATGTAGCTAGAGATCCTTAACAAAATCCATAAAAGAATCTGCAAGGATATTAGTCCTGATCTGGCATCTTAGCTTTAGTCACTTTCCCACTTCTTTAGCATACCCTGTGCATTTTCTATTCTATAAATAAATATTTTCATAGTAATTGTTCTGATAAGCTTTCCTCTGCATACTTTAGCTTCATTACCATAGCAACACTTTTTTGATCAGACCCCATATATATATATATATATATATATATATATATATATATATATATATATATATATATTATTCCATATGCATGGTATTTATTAGAAAGTGCTCAATATCAGTGATAGAGCTAACATATTCATTTGTATGTATCTGAGTTTGTGACACTGGGTTTCATGCTTTTGAGATAATCAGACAAACTAGTTTTTGTCTGATGATCGCAAAAACATGAAACACAGGGTCACAACCTTATATCCATACACACCCACACACATATATATTATGAAATAGACTAAATTAGTTTAATATATATTCCTCCGTAGCTAAATGGTGTAGCACGACAGGCCAAATGACGGTTCTGTGTAGGATACAGGTTCGATTCTTTCAGAGGACACATATTTTCTACAAAATTTCTCAGACATTCAGGCTAGTAAATATTATTAATACTGTTTATTATAAACAGAACATTTATTTAAATAATTATATCAGTAAAAATAACATAAAAACAGAAAATACATTGAAATAATTGTCTAACTTAGTCCATTTCATAATATATGTTGTTATTTGTTTAGATTAAGATACACTTTGAGCAGATATGATCGTTCAAGAAAGATCATAGGGAATCTGTTTGTTTAAAAACAGTTATTTGACTTTGCTAACCAGATGCTTCCTCTGTAGCTAAATGATATAGCACATCAGGCCAAATGATGGTTCTGTGTAGGATACGGGTTCGATTCCTGTTGGAGGACACACATTTTCTCCGAAATTTTTTGGACATTCAGGCCAGTAAATGTCATTAATATTGTTTGCTATAAACAGAGCATTTACTTAAATAATTGTATCTATAAAAATAATATATAAACAGAAAATACTTATATATTTTTTTCATCAAATGTGGCATCGGTGGTATCGAATCCTTTCTGATGCAATCACAGTTCAGATGGGCTGGTCATGTCATAAGAATGAGTGATACCAAAAAGGTGAAGGCAAGGCAAGGTAAAAGGTGAAGGCAAGCAATGAAACCTCACTACTTCTCATCCTTCAGTCTAATAAACTGCAGCAATACTCCTAAAAATAGTGTAGGGGATTCTCTCAAAAAATGGTTGAAAATTTTGTCGAAAACCTTTTACATCAAAACCTGTGGAATATTACTCAAAATATAGCAAGTGGAAACAAAAGTCATAGCAAATAAATTAATCAAATATAACTGTATCCCTTTTTTTAGGAATAAAGTTAATAAAACAAAAAAGTAAATTATTTATGGCTCAAACATTTTTGCTGTTTTTTTAATATTATTGTTTACCAGATACAAGGTCCAAGAGTCACTCAAAGTACACTGTTACTTAATGAGTTTGTTCTATGAACATAAGAGGAGGTATGAAGTGCAGGTTATAAGGATATGTAGGATAGATAATGGTTGACCCTGGGCTTAAAGAGATTAATATTGTAGTAGTCAAGGAAGTATCCTCTCAGGAGTTTGCTCAACAAAGAAGCAGCTCTTGGGAAGAAGCTGACTGAATTGATTTTCTTCCTTACCAATGGAATATGAAAGGAATGAGGAAGATTCAGCCCTGTGTACAGGGCATGACGTCTTAGTTGTAAAGGCCTGAACTGGTGGAACTAAAGAATATAGTTCATTAGAACATTTTCCATGGAAATAGTGATAGAGTAGCAAGAGGCTTGCGATATTTCATCAGTGGGAGAGTGGTTGTAGGGTTGAAAATATTTTATCACCTACAAGGCAATGCAGATGATTTTGAAAAGCTGTCAAGGCTGGAAAATGTGATAGGGCAGCTCCAGTACAGGTATGGTTGCAATGCTCCATTTTTGTCAGATCAGAATACAGCAGAAGGTATCAGATACTTTCTGGAACTGACTCTTTTCCCAGCATCTTTAGTGAGGGATTATATATAAGTTTCACTTGAGGTCTGGGGTGAACTCGTGTCCCAATAGATGTTCAGATCAAGGAGCCTCTTTGAGTATGCAACAATTCAAGGCTGGATAGAATACAGCATCTGTTCAGTGATGACAAAAAGTTACTAGCTTGTTTTTCAAAATATTGAAAGTAGTGAGATAGTCACCCCTCCTTGGACTTTTAGAACAAGATCAGAATAGAAAACAGTTGCCAGACTCTAGTCACTATCTGCCACCTAAATGTCCTTTTATTAAGCAAAAAAAAAAAAAAACTATATTAGAACTAAAAAGTAGCATACAGAAACTTTTTACAAAGGCTCTATGTCCAGACAACTATCTAATTAAATACTATCTACCGTACTAAGGACATGTCACTCTAAATACTATTTCGACTAATAAATAATACATATCTCATTACCACATTTATGGAAAATTTAGATACTTAATGCAGTAGCTGTTCATAATTGAGGGTGTGTTCACAATGTGCAATAAATTATCTTAATAAAAAGTGGGGTCAGAAAATGATTTAAAAGTTTAAAAAATGCAAAATTAATAAATTGAATGGTCTTAATAAAATCTGGAGTGATGTCAGAAAATTACCTTAAAAAAAAAATCCCACCATCCCCTTGACATTTTTTAAGTACCTGAGAGCACATAATGTTTGCTTAGGTGCACTCTAGGTAATACGTACTCTAGAACAACTTACCTTTGGATGTTTTGAAGAGGATATAACATTAATCTGCTATATCTATATAACAGAATTTTATAAACGGTTTGTGCGTGTTTGCTGGTCCTTCTATTCACAGATGTTATTTTTTTTCATTACAGAATAGAAAGCAAAACAACACTTTTTATCATGAGAATGCTCTGCAAAAAAAGACACTTATTTGGATTACTGATCACTAAACACCATTTTCTCTAGCTCTAGAATTCCCCAGAATCATTTCTGTTTCTTAAATATTACTACTTCTGTCCCATAACATTTGTTACATCTGCCTATATATTTTATATCAGTGGTTCTCAGACATTTTTTTACCCTTTTCACCATACATCAGAATGTCATTCCCCCACTTTCCAAGATTGTCCAACTCAAAAGATGCATTCCAAATAATATGTATATATATTATTGAAAACCTTCATTCTACTCCATATACATTTACAATGAATTATTTTTATAAAGGAGTTTTACAAATTTAATACCAATAGAAAATGTTGATGAATTTCTAAACTTGAATACATGTACAGTAATTTGTTTTGATTCATAACTAATTATTAAATAAATAAACTGAAGCATACGTCAATAAACAAAAAGTTTAATAGATTGCCAGGGTATTGTAATTCAATAAACAAAATTCTGTAAATAAAAAACAAGAAAAAGTAAAAGATTCCCTCCACACTTAAACCCTGAAATTCTTCTATTGTTGAGAACCACCATTTTAACTACCTTAAGACAGTGAAAGTAAAAAACAACCATCTTTCTTCAATAAATCACTTGATATAGAGCATGACTGGTTGCTCATATCTGAGTATACCTATCTGCTAGGTGTGCTAGTGAATTGTCGTTGCAGCTAATATTTTTACAAATTAAACTCACATCAAAGTATATCTCATAACTGATACCTTTAAAATCATGGCTGTTGTCTTTACAAGCCATAACAAAAGCAAAAAAAAAAAAAAAAAAAAAAAAGCAAAGAAAGATAATAATTTTGACTAATTCAGATTTCCAATCACTAGTTGGTAACTCAACTAGGTTGTACTATCGTTTTACAGCTAACTTACCACAGTCTTTTTCATCCGTTCCATTCCTACAGTCTTCCTCGCCATCACATTTCCATGCCACGGGAATACATTTGCCATCGTTGCAGAGGAGCTCCTGATTTTGGCAATGATTTCCTATAGAGGGTAAAACAACACCAACAATAATAATCACAGGGCCAAGGTGGTAGACAATAGCAAATATCTGGAGGAATGTGCATTTCCTACCTACAGAGGTGGCGGTTTGGAGGGAGATGGGTGGGGAGAAACCAGTAGTGACCATTCCACCACATGCGCTTCTCACTGTAACATAAGAACATTTTTGCACAAGGGGTTTTTTTTTTTTAAAGTGAAGGGCGGACCCTGTTTAGGGATTAAAAACAAAATAAAAATATTTGCTGGCTTTTGAAAAAAAAACTTGGAGAAATATTTAAAAAAAATTAAAATAACATTGACAGAAAATATGCAATTTGGCCTGAAAAAGAATAAATTAATAATGATATTAAGAAAGGGCATCTGAGTGTGGGGTAATGGTTAACAAGTTAGTCTGGTTGACCATTACAACTGATACTGAGTTTAGTCCACACTGGGTGCCCCATACTGATGTCATACTAACTTAGCCTTAACAAATAAAATATTCTGTAAGTTATTATTCATTAAAATTTTATAAAGAAAAACAATAATTTTTTGGCATTTAATTTCTATGTTTATAATAATAAATCTATAAATATACCATATTGAAGCAGAGACATGGAGAAAATTAATGTAAAAACGAAAAAGTGATATTTGTTTTTTTACAACGATGTTCACTATGTACAAGGCCCAAGAGCCATTCTAGGTAGAGAGTTACAGAGTAAGAGGCACAGTTTATGGTGATATGTGGAGAAGATAATGGTTGACCTAAACTGAAATAGGTTAAGATTGTAGTGATTGGGGAAGCATCCTCTTGGAAGTTGGCTCTAAAAAGCAGCGATTTGGGGAAAGAAGCTGCTCCTCTCGTGAAACATACATCTCATCAATGGAATATGAAGAGAATGAGGGTGGTTCACCACAATATGCACAGCATGGCAGGTCATAGCCATGAAGGTTAGAACTAAGGGTTGTAGTTCATCTGAACACTTTCGATGGAAATAACAATAGAGCAGCGAGAGTATTACAATGTTTCATCTGTGGGAAAAGGGTTGAAGGGCAGGTAATAATTCATCACCCACAAGGATCCAGAGATGTTTTTGAAATCAATGGTGAAAGTGAACAGTGGGCAGGTGCTGCCCATATATGGCAGCAGTACTTCATCCTTTAAAGGATTTACACCACCTGTGTTTCAAAAATGGAAAAGATGTTGCAAACACTTATGGTGTAAAGATTTAAACCCTTTTTTCATTTTGACAGTATTTTCAACATGTCTCCATTTCATCATGCTACACTTTTGTACTATTCAGAAATCATTTAAATTATTTAAATGTAAAAATGCATATCTGATTGAAATTGTTTTTCTTAAAAAAAAATGCTCATTATGTTAAACATTAATCAACATTTCCTGCTTTATAGCCTCTACTATCATTTTACAGTTAACTATAAATTTAATTTCTGTAGTCTTCCTTGCTGTTACATTTCTATACCCCAGAAATACATTTATATTAAACACTAATTATTATTTGATGCCAATTTCCTAGAGTGATTAATAGGAATGGGCTGCATTTAAATTTTAATCAAACATTATTTGTTCTTTTGTATTTCTTTTTATCAAGATGGGAGGAAGGATCGTCAGGAATAAATTTAGTGGAACATTAAGAAAATGGTTGTTATTTTTTGTGTTTTTTTACGAAGGTTGCACCAAAATAAAGCATAATAAATTTAGATTTAACAAGAAGCAAGTTTAACTTAGATTTGTAAATAATGACCTTTTTTTTCTTGACCTTTTTTCTTATTTTCTTTTTTCAATTACAGTTTCTTTCCTCCCCATTCTCAAATTTATGAGACAAAACCAAGAAGAAATAAAATGATTATGATCTTTGCATTAAAGAATTTTATTAATTTAAGAATTATTAAAACCCATCTTTCAACTTAAGTATATTTCATAAAATTTTATAAATGTACTTTGTTAATGCCATGTCCCTTCAAGATATAGGCAATCATGACTTTTTATTTTTTTTTTAGTCATCTATGAATTGTCATGCCAGCTTGGGAAAGATAGTGGAATGGTTTCCTGTTAACTTTCCCACAGTTTAGAATTCAATTTTCCTTCTCTTAGAATGGTTACCATCTAAGGCTAAAGAGTGTAATCCAACTTGCTATTTAACCTTTAGCTTGGAGCTGACTGAAGAGTCAAATTCATACTTTACCCAAGGGCATTAGTGTGAAAGACTAGCCTGGAATTTGAACACAGCTTGCTGATTTTATTTTTGGCACGAATATCCATTACACCACACACGCCTTCTACCAAGAATTTTTTGCTAGTTATTTTATTAGTAATTTCAGTAATGTCTTACTATGAAACAATGGCTAACTACATAATTTTACAGACTGAAATCACTTAAAGAAGTTCAATCCTCACCAATTACACTTTAATGTAGCAATGTTCTATTTTAAATAACGCTTAGTAAACATCAATATTAGTTTATTTTCATTTCCAATGATTCACAATGTAGGGCACATGCCCCACTGGTGGAGCATGGTAATATTTTGATGGGGCATGTATAAGATGTGCACTCATCGCCTTACAATACCTTTGGTTCAAATTACATTTTGCATTATTATTTCATGATTAAATTGATCAAAGTATATTACAGAATAAACTTTCATTCAAATATTTTATATTTCTGCCTTTGAGTTCTCTATTATATGCTTTGAAACTATAGATATTCAACTGTCTTTCTGTCTTTTTTAATTTTTTTCTGTCATGGATGCCATGGTCTTTGGAGGCTTGTTTAGAGACCAAGTTAATGGCCTTTTAATCTTCCTTCATGTGAGTTGCAATAAAATTTTGAATATGTAAGAATTAAATATTACAGAGAAGGGCACCAGAATTTTAGAAATACCAAAGTGGAGCATGGCCCAAAATCGGTTGGGAACCACTGCTCTATTCAGTTTTAATCTTTTGAAGTGGGGGACAATTTAATCTCTTCCTCATGCCTGACTTTACCAAATTCTCAATTGATCCATTCTAAGGTCTCCTTCAGGTGTACTCTCTGCAAGTAAAGTAAGGATCTCTTATTTACATTAAAGTCAGATTTATGAGCTCTTTTTTTATTGTCACAATGTTCTGGTCATTGTGCCCTTTAGTATCTGAAGAAGGCCAAAGGGCACAGCAGTTGAAACGTTATGACAATAACAACAAAGATGAAATTATTAGTCTGAATGTAAATAATAAGAACTAATATCCTCATTGTTGCTACTGATACATTTCAACTACTGTGCTTTTCTGACTTCTTCAGATATTGAAGAGAAGAACAGCTAAAATCTTGTGATGACAACAAAGATGAGTACCTCGGTCGGGTTGTAGATAATGTAAATGATGATAACTCTTCATTATCAGAAATTTGTCTCAGAAACCACATTTATAATGTTTCTTCTTTTTTTTCCCCTAATTACACTTAGCAGTTGTTTCAATATATTACTTGGAGATATTGTTGGAGTTTTCCTCCTGTCATTAAGACAATTATTCAATAAAACAATAATAAAATGACTCCACTCAGCTTTGATCCAGCAGACAAGCCTCCTTTGGAACCACTTAATTTTTCATTTTAACAAAATCACCCCGTTGTTGATCAAATGAAAGTAATGATTTTAAAGAAATGTTTTCTATTACTCTGAGATGAACAATAGTCATGATAATAAAAAGACACTAATGAAGAAGTCCAGTTCCATCTTCTTTATGCACCATGTCTCCTCAGGATGTAGGTGATTATGGCTCTCCACAATTTCCTGTCCTTTGTAGGTCTTAATAAATTTTGTCTTTTATGTTATTTCTCTTAAACCTTCTTCCACCATCCATTCAAGCTCACTAAATATGTTATACATTGTTTTCTTCTGCTCCTCTTGCCTTCAATCAGTCCTGTGAGTATCAGATTTTCCAAGCCCACTTTCCTCATTATTTACCATAAATTTTAAACTATCCCTTCCTGATTTTAAGCATAAGTTTCCCTTTTGTTTCCATTTTCTCCAAAATCTCATCGTTGTTCACATATTTGGTCCATGGCATCCTCAGCATCCTTCTGTAGAACTACATTTCTGTTACTTCAAGTCTCTTCTTCATCTTTGGAGATTGCTCAGCATTCCCTGTCATATAGGAGGACAGATATAACATAATAGTTCAGTACTATTTTCTTTGTTTTTAACAAAATGATTTTCTTTATTAATACACTGCTTAGTTTTTAGAGTGCATCTTTGGCTATCCTGATGTGCCTTCAGATCTCAGTGTCGCACTTTCCGTCCTCTGTTAGAACACTTCCCAGATATTTAAATTTTTGTACTTGCTTGATTTTGCTATCTCCGATTTATAATTTGCATTTTGAGCTCATCTTTTTACAACTGATGTTTAGTCCTTTCTTCTTGAGTTTCTTCCTTGCCTTCTGTAGAAGTTTTTGTAGTTTTCTTTACATGTCTGCTATCAACACTGTGTCATCTGACCTGGCGCCTTGGCTTCAGTCACTTTCCTATCACCATAAAGTTGCTTCTCTGTGCCTTTTCTATAAATACTTTCATGATAATTGTTCGGATAAGCTCTTCACTATGGTACCTAGACTTTATGAATTTAAGCACAGTACTAGATTGGCAACATGGTCTCATAGATTTACAGTTGAATTGGTGAGATGTAACCATAAGTTCTCTGCTAACAGTTTCTTTTCTTGCACTTCTCACTTGTGGAACTCTCTTTCTGGCTCCTTGCTTTCCAGCCAAATCTGATCTTCAAAAATTTAAATACAATGTCAATTATTATCTACTGTCTTCTTGATTACTCTTCTATTGTTCTTGCTCCTTAATAATGTTTCTATTTTTTCTTATTCTTTTACACTCAGTAACCCATTGTGTCTTAGTGGTTTTACTGGCTTGCTTGGGGTGAATTTGATTAAAAAAAAATAGAACAATATTGTCTATGCCATTGTTATAAAGATCGGTTTACTCATTTCAAAACGTCA